ACTATGGATAAATCATATGAAAGTTCTATTGATTACTTTGTTTTTAGTAATTATGCAATACCTTATTCTTAATTAGTGAGTAATTCAATTATTTATAACTACCCAGAAAGTAATTAAAAGGTATCCCAAATCTAAAGTATATAAAATTACCTCAAAATAATTAAAAAGTAATTATAATTATTTTTTAATTACTTTTAGATATTTTTATTTACTTTAGATTTGGAATACCTTTTAATTACTTTCTGGGTAGTTATAAGTAATTGAATTACTCACTAATTAAGAATAAGGTATTGCATAATTACTAAAAAAAAAGTACTCAAGAATTACTTAAAATTACTTGAACTATGTATGTTATGCATATTTTTCTTAGTGATTAGTCAATATTACCTCATGGGTAACGTGGAAATATTACAATTGTAATGGAAAAAAGGTACAAATAATTTTGTCATAACAGTATAGGGTAAAACATTTACTAGATGAATTCGAATGTAATTATTCCAAATTGTAATGAATACAAAAGTAATCATTACTTTACAGCTCTGTATACAAGTTAAGGTGTCTGTACATATCTACTTTAAAATAGTAATGTAATAATAAAGTAGTTATAAAAATGACTGATATTCTATTATTAAGGCTTTCGGTGTAGAATTGAATACAATAGTACAATTTTATAAAATATATATACTTTTTTCTGTATGTTTGCTGTATTATATTTCGTATATTATTGGTGTATTATATATTATAAAATAAAAATACTATATGAACACAATATTCTCCTTCTTAAGTAAAAAAGGACCTAATTATATGCTGTTGAAGTGCTCGTCCTCTTGCTAAATCAGGATTCGCTCTTCTTACATTTGTATTCAAATCTTCAACTTGAGGAACATGATTACAAATTCTTAAGTCAACCTCATTCTTTTCATCTTGCTGAGGCGCAGGGAGTCCATTTTGTATGCATATATTGTGCAATACCACGCACGCGTTGATGATTTTTGAGGCTGTATTGGGATTGTAGTGCAGTACTTTATGTTTCAAAAGACAACGAAATCTTAATTTTAATATCCCGTTGTAGCGTTCAATTAATGATCTTGCTTTTTTTAAGCAATCGGAGTACACAGCTTCCGGTGTTCCAGGCCGAGTGTCGTTTATCGGGGTTAGCAGTCATGGCCTCAATGGGTATCCTGAATCTCCTATGTAAATTCATAGAAAAGGTGTGACTCAAGTTATGTACAATGAGTGATGATGGAAATTCACCAAATTTCAACCATTTCCTTAATTCTCTACCAGTTTTTATCATTTTGAATATATGTGTTTCGTTTAGGTGCCAAATCGATTATCAGTTGTTGAAAAAACTTATGTTAACCGATTGAAACGCATAAAACAGAGGAATTTGTTAAATAATATACACTGCTCGGGAGTTAGGAAACTTGTAGTGGGAACTTTGTGAATTTGCATTCTGTTCATACAAAAATTAGTAGCTACTTATAGAAGCAGTATAACTTACCCAGAAGATAAAAACCATTTCCATGATATTCGTTAATACTTTTTAGGGCTGGCAATATATATTGGTATTGTTCAAAATATAATTATCGTGCGTACTCCCAGGGAATCGTGCATTCACATGTATTATCCTTAAATCAGGATCCGAAACCTGTAACAGCGATATCGTATTCTTATAGTCATGATGTTATTATTTCAGTTTTATTATTTTATTACCGTACCAATTGAACATTTATGGAATGATATCCTTTAGGATTTACATATATATGTTCTGGATACTCCGGATCATTGATGCCAGTTGCTACGATTGCAACGTGTGCACAATCGATGCATCCGATAACACCGGGAAATGCATGCCCTTGATAAAATCTAAATAATGCATTACACAAACATTATAATTGTAAAATGTATTGGGACTACAATTATATGATAATAAACCATAAAATTCCGAAAAATAACACTGTACCCACGTCTGAGAGTTTGCAGTTCCTGTATATTTCTGGGGAACTTTACCCATTCATTTTGCACGTGTTGCTGGTTTAGAGCATCTATGACACTATGAATGCATTTACTGACGAATGGCTGGCTAATGGAAGTGTAAATGTTATGTCCAACGTCTGATTGGTAGCTTCCTCGCGCAAAGGCTTGCAAAGCTGTTAATACCTAGAAACGTATTGAATTTTTATAGATATAAAAGAAAGCCTTAATAAGCATTAATATGATATAATTATCTCTGTCTGAGAGTGTAATGTTGACGCCCGAGAGAATGATTCTCTCTCTCTCTCTCTCTCTCTCTCTCTCTCTCTCTCTCTCTCTCTCATTTTTTACCACTTTGTATCATATTTTATCGCAAAAAGCGTACTATTTCACGTATGTTTGGCCTGAAACCGATGAAATCGGTGAAACCCCTTACATTTTGCTGCCGGAGAAGTTTTCGCAATGATCACAAATGCAAAAATTTATGAATTTCTGTGTTGCTTATAACTGTTGTCATCGCAAAATTCCTATTATACATATGATGTAACTCGGTGTGGAAATTACCGAGCCCGATGGAACCTTCCGTATTTCATGATACATGAATTCGTGATGTTCCATTTGCATTTATGGACACTTTTATTGTTTATAAAACCATTGTTGGTGCGAAATTGCTATGCTCTGGTGCAGCTCGACAAGGAATTTACCAAACGCAATCAATCCTTTCACATGTAGTTGCAGATGTATTCCTGATTATCCCATTTGCAATTATACAGGGTGTCCAAAAAATGTTGGATGTCCTTGAATGGGGTGTTTCGGGGGGGGGGGGGGGATGATTTGAAACAATTTTTTCTTAACGAAAATGTTGTTCGAGGCTTCGTTAAAGAGATATTGACAGAAACCTCCGACCAATCAAAGCGTGAGTAGCATAGGCCCCGCAGGCGCTCCTCCGGCATATTCGCGCTCTGATCAATGTTACCACATCCACTAAATACTATCCCAAACCTACCCAGACCGTATTTTCATAGAGAGAGTATATATATTAGCAGTAACCAATATTTCCACCCCAGTCCCCGCAAAAAAGAATGCTTTAAACCTACTCAGACAGTATTTTCATGTAGGTATGTAGTATATACATTAACTGTATGCAATATTGACCCTTCCCCGCAGCGCTAAAACAAATACATCAAACCCTCTCAGATAGTACAGACCGCGACCAAACTATAAGACATATGCAAAATTCGATGAAAATTCTATATAAGTCTTGAGTTTTATCTTCTTTCATTCATAATGTTATTGTTTACATCATATAAAAGTATATTCTACAGTTTTACGAAATATCGAATGCTACAATTCCAAGAACTTGTAGAATATATGTAAACATGCTATTCTCTTCGTGACAAAACTATAAAGTAGTAAAGAGAGGCCGGTTCTAACTCTGGAGCTCCAACGGGGGAGCGGGGGAGGGGGGAACCGAGAGCGAGGAGAAGTGGGGGAGAGGGAACCGATGGCGAGGAGGGCAAGGGGGAGGGGGCACGAGTGGTGGGGGTCGGTAATTATTACCTACGGTCGGTAAAGTAGGATGCAATTATTACATACGGTCGTTAAAGTAGTGGGGGACACCACCGGTCGGTAATTATCAGTGATCGGTAAAAAAGAAAAACGCAAATTTTACATATAACGAAATAAGCGCGTAAGGGTGGGGGAAACCGTCCTCTTCGCGCGCAGAAGTGGGGATATTTTTACGGGCCTCGCGGGTTCCCTCTCTCTCTCGCGCCCAAGTATTTTCTTCTTCGCACTCATGCTCTTTTACCCGTGCAACACGTAAGATTAGAAAAGATGAGGTAATTATCATAGCTAATTATCAGAGATCGGTAAGAAAGAAAAACGCAAATGGTACATGTAACGAAATAAGCGCACACGCTATAAGGGAGGGGGAAACCGTCCCCTTCGCGCGCAGGAGTGGGGGCGTCGTTGCGGGCCTCACGGATTCCCTCTCTCTCGCGCCCAAGTATTTTCTTCCTTGCACTCATGCCCCGTGCAACATATAATATTACATTACAATTTTTGACGCAGCCATCGGTAGGAACGTCTCGCGACGATGGCCTCGAGCAGAAGTTCCAAAAACGCAAAGTGTGCAAATTACAATTCGGCAGCAAATCTTTTATTTGCGCGATACAATTTTTCAAGGACTAGATATTAAAGAAACGGTAAAGGTGACATCATTCTTTTGATGATGAGAATACTGGAGAACGTGCAAAAGAAACATTACACCGGATGAGAATATGATATGGGAGGAAATGCGCTAGAAAGAAAGAAAGACACATATATCCAAGTTATTTCTTTTTTATTGATAACTGTATTCCAGCATTATATCTAAACCTAATGCTAACAATTCAGAGTCAATGAATGAATACCGGTCAAAATTTTCATGTTCAACAATTGCCTTTGCATAATCCTTAATTTCAGCATTTTGTATTATTTCTATAAACTTGTTGTACTTAGATTTTACCAGGTACAAGTTTTCAGACAGCCAACTGTACATGTGATTGATACAATATTCGAAAGCGAACAACTTCTGTACGGTTTGTATCACTCATGAATATAGAGACGGTAGAATTTGAGAGTTTTGCGAGCATCATTAATGCTTATTGGCTCGCTCGAGGTTCCCGATGTATCAGCAAAAATCTGCAGAATGTTATACTTCTTTCGTAGTAGATCTTCCCACGTATCCATAGAAAATTTAATTTCGTTTCCTCGAGAGTCTCCTATAGCCAGCTCTACGTCGCAGGAACCACCGATTCGAACCCTGATGTCGAAATACTTGTAGAATGTATCCGTCAGGGGATATCTCCTCCTCAGTATACGCACCACGCGTGTTACTCTACGTTCCGAATGAACATTATCGCTATCACTGACAAGAGAAACAAAAAATTATAAAGGATATTAAATTTTGACTGCATATTTTGCAATATGTTGTCAAAGAACTTACTGTGTGCGCGATTTCTTTGTTAATGATTGAACTCCTTGTTCGGAAGATTCTTTCGCGTTGCTCGAGCGATTTCACTATGGGACCACATCGCTGATGTTTCAATACGAGGCGATAGAACGATGTTGCGAACAATGATTGAAAAAACGCGTTTAGACATTTTTATATAACAGCCCCCCCCCCCCACTCTTTGTCAGATGGAAAATATGTTGAAACAGCAAATCTCCCCTCCCACACACATTTCCACATTTATTTTTAGCATACACACCTTTGCGTAGCGCGTGATCTAATTTTTTTTATACGTAATAAGACCCTCATCATCGCGGAGTCATTCTAATGAATTGATACGTCAGTAGATTGATTCTCAGGAAAACATACGAAAACAGCGATACGGAATATGAGGGGATTACGAAAATCTGCAAGTAGTGACATCATAGTAGGGGTATATCATGTGACAAAATCACGTGACCTAGACTATAAAAATTGTGTTGCAGATTGAACTGCATCCAAACCGTTCTGTAACGGCCCCCCAGCGAAGAAGTGAGTGCAACCATGGAAGAACTCTTGGAAATGGAAAGTCGATTGTGGGACGAGGCCGATCGATTGACTTCGCAAGAAGAATACCTCACATGGGAAGAACGATGCAACGAGTGCCTCGAGTCGCTGGAAGAACATAGTCGAGCAAAACACCCTCGATTATCGATCGGCGTTCAACAATCGTTGATCGTTCGTATCGCGCGTCTCGATAGTCTAAAGTATTCGTTGCGCAGACGTTTCGTGTACGAAGGTGCCGGCCATTCAACAACTGGACTCTTGTGGCGTGAAATAGACACTGCGTTCGATAGCCGCGTATTAACCGGCGCTGTTTTGAATTCGCACTATATCAAACCGCGTAACTTTTTTCAGAATGCGAGAGACGTTGTGCTCAAGCATATACGGGTTGCATTGGTGAAACATAAGACACTAAAAGTGAATACCGCGTTTAATGGAGAGTTTGTAGCGGGTGATAAACGCTCGAACAAGACTATCAGCACGAAGAATTGTGAAATCTTTGGCGAGATCAATCTCGAAGAGTGGTACGAGCAACGCGTCGTCGAACCCACCCTAGCATCGCTGGAAGAATTTCAAGAACGGAATAGCAGATGGGCGCTCTCGCGTATACTCAATTTAATTGTTAACGTGAATAAATATATGCCGCTGCATGCTGGATGTACCATACAATTACCGCGAGAAATACAACTAAAGAGAGCTGAAATCAACTTATGCTCGAACGACAATGCAAGTTTCGCGTGGTCAGTAGTGGCTGCTCTGCATCCAACCGAAAGGAACGCATGTCGGGCATCGGTATATCCTCATTATTCAACAGTGTTGAATATCCAGGATATCGAATTTCCAATGACATTGAACCAAATTAAAAAGTTTGAACACGTCAACAGCATCTCCATCAACGTCTACACCACTGAAGAAAAGAAGGTTCTACCGATACGGCTCGTCACACGGAAGATGGAGAGACATGTCAATTTGCTGTATTTAGAAGGAGCAAACGGCGTGGGACATTTCGAGTGGATCAAAAACTTGTCTCGCCTCGTGAGCTCACAATTGAGTAAAAAGAACCATCGAAAATACTTTTGCGATAGCTATGTATATAATACTAATAATTCTTTTTTATTTTTTAAATATGTTATGTTTGAAAAAAATTTATGTCTTTTTATTGCAGATGTTTGCACTACTTTAGTTCGAGTGAGAAGCTGGAAGCTCACACCGTAGATTGCGAGAAGATGAACGAATGCGCAATCGTATTACCAGATGATGAAAGCAAATGGCTCAGCTTCGACAACTACATCCGGAAAGAGCGACTTCCATTTGTGGTGTACGCCGACCTCGAGTGCATTCTGGAGAAAACTGATCGAGAAGCGCCAAGATCCACATACCAGCATCATAAAGTATTTAGTATTGCATATTATGTTCATTGCGCGTAAGATTCTTCCTTGTCGGCGTAACAATGTCGTCGTGATGCGAATTGTGTTTCCTGGTTCGTCGAAGAATTAAAGAATTTGGCACATTTTGTTAAATAAATTTTATCAAATAACATACAAATGGATGATTTAACGAGCGAACAGCAGGAGGCATTTCGCACGCAACGCGACGCATTGTCACATTTGCGAAAAACTGTTTGGAGAAAACGATACGAGAGTTCGCGATCATTGCCATCTAACCGGTCGATACAGAGGTCCC